AGAAAAAAAATCACACAGTATATTTGTAAAAATCTTTATTTTCTAGTACTATAATAATTTATTATTTTTCTAGTGTTTATTTAATTTATTCTTCTATACATTACGGGTGTTAGTTTTTCTTAAGTAAGTTGTTTTTAATTCGTCTAAACTAAAACTTATTTTAAATATATTAATAGTTAATTTGCAACCATCCGCTCAATTAAATAAAATGTCTTACCTAGTTTGAAAAGAAACTTCCGCCCTCCCTCAATTGCGTGCACTAATCCCGTCACCACTAACCCCAGCATCACTACTCCCAACACCACTATTCTAGGAAAGACACACCATCGACGATAACACGACACGTGTTTCGCCTGTACACGCGGCATCTTCAGGTGATGTAGACTCTACGGCGGCTGACCGCTAAGTGATAATGATTTGATGCGATGTGAAGTGACAAACTAGGTATAAGATACATCATTTTATTTAAATTATAACTATTAATACCTTTATTATAATGGATTTCCGCAAAGTAACGCCTGATTCTATCAACTATCTAAAACTTATTTGTATAATTATCTAAACTATATACAACGGTAATTTTAATTAAAGACTCCATATTTATGTTAGACCTACCAAATAATTTGATGTTACAAATGTTCTTTTTAATAAATTTATATCCATGTTTGTAATAAAAAAAACATAAACGACTCAATGATTTGCTCTGAAAAGTTCTGTTTTAAGTCGGATCTCATCTGTACGGCTTTTCAGATATTTGCGAAGAAAAGTTTAGTTTTCCAAATAGTCATGGCATTTTTATAGAAGGAATTTCGTAAATTTCTATAACAAAAATTAGTCACGAACAAGGCTTTATAATTTCTCATACGTAATTGCACATTTCTGAGAGTGGTGGAGTTATTTACTCTATACTTTAAAGAAATAAAGAAAGGAAGAGATATTTATTTGGCCATTTAACAAATTAGCACTAAAAACTCAAAATAATCATTATGTTTAGGTAATCTTAAAACTAGACTCAATTATACACTTACAATAAAAAATAAATCGTTTTGACAATGCAGATAGGTACAAAATAAATATTAAAAAAAAAACTTATTTTATGGAAAATGGTTCAAATAGGAGTGCCACTCAGGAAACGCTAAGATGTAAGTACACGTTTTTAGTAAAAGAGGTCTTCGATTCTCTATACTCACCATACGAAACCCAACAGCATTGAGCTGTTATTTGACGCTGGACTTTGAATAGTAAGAGAATCGAAAGTGTAAATATCTGTATCCAATTATTGAAGTTGTTATAAATCCTTATCTGTCTTTGTATCTACTTTTTTTATAGAAGCGGTGGCAAACGAGCATGCGGCTCACCTGATGTTAAGTGACTACCGTCGCCCATGATCAACCGCAACACCAGGGGAATTGCAGGTCGTTGCCGGCCTTTTAGAAAGGAGTACGCTCTTTCCTTGAAGGTCCCCAGGTCGTATCGGTCCGGAAAAATCGCTGGTGGTAAACTATTCCACAGAGAGGTTGTAAGCGGAAGAAAACTCCTCTTGAAACGTACAGTGGCGGACCGCCAAGCATCCAGATGGTGAGGATGGTATCGGGACGTTTGCCGCGTAGTGCTTTCACGAAATTTGGCGGCTGGGATTAATCCAAACAATTCCTCAGAGCACTCTCCATGGTATATGCGAAATTAAATGCAAAGGGATGCAACATCTCTTCGCAGTGCCAGTGAATCGAGCCGATCGGAAAGCACTCGGTCGTCGGCGATTCGAGCCGCTCTGCGCTGGATGCGGTCAAAGTGGAACTGGAAGGAGCTGGTACTGGGGAGCCCCAGCCCAGAAATGGGAACAGTATTCCATGTGCGGCCGAACCTGCGCCTTGTAAAGTCACAGGCGGTGTGCCGGCATGAAATACTGTCCCGCTCTACTGTGCACGCCAAGCTTTTTAGAGGCTAATTTGGCCTTCTCATCCAAGTGACCACGAAACTATCACTCGATATGTCGACGCCAAGGATTCCGATACTGGCTGAGGCAACAAGGGGAGTGCCGTGAAACTGAGGAGATACGACAAAGGGGTTCATTTTAGCGGTTAACGCGCAAACTTGTGTCTTCTGGGGGTTAAAATGGACTAGATTTAGTCGCCCCCAATCCGAGACTCTGTTCAGCAAAGACTCGAGTTCAGATACAAGTTTGTCCCGGCACTCGGAGACGTTTTCCCGAGAAATATTGGCTCGGCCGGTGTAAAGAGCATCACCAGTGCTGTCATCTGCATACGAATGAATGTTACGGGTTTGCAACATATCATTGATATGCAGAAGAAACAGCGTTGGCGATAGCACGCAGCCTTGTGAAACACCAGCATCAATAGGCTTGCAATCGGAGCTTGAACCGTCTACAACGACCTTGATGCCCCAATCTGCAAGAAAGCTGCTGATCCAATCGCACAATTTCTCGGGAAGCCCATAGGATGGGAGCTTCGAAAGAAGCTCTTTGTGCCAAACCCGATCGACGGCCTTCGCAATATCCACACTAACGGCCAATACTTCCCCCTTGGACTCTACTGCCTCCGCCCATCTGTGAGTTAGGTAGACCAGAAGATCACCAGCTGACCGACCACGGCGAAAACCGTATTGGCGGTCACTAATCAGCTGGTGATCCTCAAGGTACATCATGAGCTGGCAGTTGACAATGGACTCAATTGTTTTGGAGAACAAGGAGGTGACGGCGATAGGCCGGTAGTTGGACGGGTATGATCGGTCGCCTTTTTTAGGGATCGGGTGGACGAAAGCCGTCTTCCATGATTTTGGGACTACGTCTAGGGAGTAGGAGTACCGGAAAAGACGCGTTAAAACCGGTGCCAACTCTGGAGCACACGTCCTCAGCACAATTGGGGGGATTCCGTCAGGCCCACTCGACTTGTGGATGTCCAGGGAGAGGAGTGCTTTGCGAACCGAGCGCTATGTGAACTACACTTCCGGCATGGAGCACTCACACCGGGGATGGTCAGCGGCGTACTCCCCCTTTCATCGAGAGTCGAGTTGAGAAAGAGCCTAGAAGATCGGCTTTCTCCTTTGCGGTATTGGCAGTGAGTCGTCCTCCCTGTGCAGAGATGGAAGAGATGGCTGACAGAAATTCCCCTGGACAGCCTTGGCGAGAGACCAGAATACACGGATACCAGAAGGAAGGAGCAACTAGTTTCTCGCCAATTCTGCCTATGTGCTCTGACTTTGCCTTGGCAATAACTCTTTTGAAGGACCTAGAGGCGGAATTATACTTCTTTTTTAGAGCGCTGGTTTTTACATCTCGGGACGCTGATGCGTCAGCCCAGGCTTGGTAGCACTCCTGCTTATAGCATGATGCTATTTTACAGGAGCGACCAAACCATGGCTGAGATTTGCCTCCAATGGGCACCACAGAGAAGGAATAAAAAGTTCCTTACCCTGAAGTACCACATCAGCGACAGAATCTGCAACAACGTTGGGATCGTCCGGCGAGAAGCAAACCCGCCCCCAAGGGTAGGATGCAAAGAAAGACCGCATCCCATCCCAATCGTCTGACCTATAGTGCCAAACACGGCGGCAGCCTGCAGAATGCAACTGCGATTTCAGCGTGAGTGGCACCACACTCCGAACAAGACAATGGTCCGAGGAGCCTAAAGGGGCGTCGACGGAAATCTGATATCCGTCAATATGGAGGTCAGCAGAAGGTCCAGCAGGGAAGGTGCATGATCCTCCACATCTAGAATCCGCGTAGACGAAGTAACCAGTTGTGTCAGACCATATGCCAAGGCAAAATCATGAACAGATCTCCCCGCATGATCGGTTAAACGTGAACCAAGCCATTCGGCGTGATGGGCGTTAAAGTCGCCGAGGATCACGATCTCTGCGGAGGGGATCTGCTATAGCAACGAATCTGTAGCCATTTGGACGTGGTCGAAGAGTCGGTCTGTTTCGGCATTACCGCTATGGGACCTATAGAGGCACCCGTAGACGCGCGGATGTTCGTCGCTGTCTACGCGTAGCCAAAGGATGGACAGGTCCGAACCTTCAAGTCTGCCGAGGCGTCGAGAACAGATGTCCTCTCTGACGTAAACGCAAACTCCAGCCCGAGGCACAAAGGAGTGTTCCAGTTTGTACACCGGCTAGGAGAGATACGAGACATCAGCCGGGGAGGACACCTGCGTCTCGGTCAGAAAGAGCAGAGCCGGCCTCGCCATCTCGAGATGGTAGTGGACGGCATTTAGGTTAGAGTGAAGTCCCCTGATATTGCAGAAATTCACGGACAGCGTGGCAGGGGTCCTCCGAAGTTTGCCCCGAGCAGTTGTAGTCTTGAGCGGAATTTTGCCCCCCCCCCCCTCAGAATACGCGGAGCTGTCTGAGCACTCACGCTCAGAAGTGGAGAAACATGGTCGTGGATGCTCATCGAGGGATTCTCCAGGGGTGCTGGTACCCTCCTGGGGTAGTATCATCATCATATCATCATTTAATTCCGCTACCATGTTGATGGGGGGGGGGGGGGATTTGGGCCTCCGGCCACCTGCACTTGCCAGACGAAACGCGGAAGCAGAGCTTCCACTTCACGCCGGTATTCTGTGAGGTCGTGGTACCACCCCGGTTTGAGCCAGCCATACGTGCAACAGCAAAGCTGCCGCGTGGCTCTACCACTGTTAAAACCTACCTGAGTAGAAAGGAACCAAACTTGTCTAATTCTGCCACAAAGGAGTAGTTTACACACAGAATCTAAAGCGATACATCATAGGCCTGTAAAAATATATAATAGTGTATGTCAGTGATTAATTGAGCGTATATGACAAAAAATACAGATCACCGAAAACCGCACGGCCAAATATTAATAATTGTGGGTAGCTTTCATCTCATAGCAGAAGAAAAGAAAGGGAAAAACGACGTATAACAGTAAGCCCGACTATACTTTTGAATGTTTGAACGGAATGAGCTTTGAATTATTCAAGCATTGCACAGCATTAAAAAGCTCAGTGTTTGTGTTAACAATGCAGACTGTCGGAGGTAAGCGTGCATTTTCAATAGCTTGCACACCGAGAAATTTATAGTCATTAAACATGTATATGCTTTTAATAATGCAATGTAATGTATGTACAATATGAGGGCACTCCCCTTGTTGCCTTAGCCGGCATCTTAATGATCGGCATCGACATATCTAATGATGTGCAATTTCATTGTCAATTAGAAGGAAGGATTAATTGACGTCTAAAAGCTTGGCGTGCTTAGCAGAGCGAGACAGTCATGCCAGCACACCGCTTGTAACTTTACAAGATTCGGACTGAAATGTAATACTGTTCTTATCTCTGGGCTGCCGGGCTTCCAAGTACGAACTACTTCCACTTGACCCCGGCTCGGCTTGAATCATCGACGACCGAGTTCTTACTGATCGGTTTGGTTCCCTTTGCATTTTCTACTGCATTGACCCCGGAGAGTGCTCTGAGGAATTGTTCAGATTAATTCCAACCGTCAAATTTCATCAACGCACAACGCAATAAAACTCAGGTTACTACAAGCTACATACTTGGCGATCCACTACTGTGCGATTTACAAGGAGTTTTCTTCCTTGCATGACTTTTTTTAATTCGTTTTCCACTAGCAGTTTTTCCGGAACGATAAGACTTAGGGAAACGAGTTAACTTATTTTTAAAAGGCCGACAAACGTACCTGCAATTCCCTTAGTATTGCAGTTGTTCATGGACGGTGTTCGACACTTAATAACTGATGAGCCGCATGCTCGTTTGCCCACTCATCTAAAAAACATATATTTATGTAGAAACTTTTCAATACCGTATGTTATTCATCATCGGGGTATTTATAAATAAAAATGCAAAACTGGTCCACATAACACTAATACTCTAGAGAGAAAACTATTCGTAGTTGTTAGCCTAGCACAAAAATCCTAGGGCGAAAGCATAATTTTTTTCTTATTAAACAAAACGTATAATGTTTTCAAATTGTAATATTAATCACTAACGAAATTTAAAAAGTATCTGGCTAAGAGGGTATAAAGTTACAATTTATTAAGATGCCACATTTCTCAACTTCAATTTTTTAGATCTCATTAAGTTTCAAGTAAGTGTTTTTAACTTCCCAGTGGGAAGTTATTGTTATAGGTCCGATTTTGCAAATTAGAAATTTTAACATATCTCCACGTTTCAAGGTCTTTAGAGTCGAATAGTATGGTTTTTAAGAGGATGTCCGTGTGATTCAATTTTCGCCGCGTATATCTCGAGATGATTAAGTGATATTGACATGGGACCAGTTTCAATTATGTAACTTAGACCTCATTAAAATTTGATAAAAATCGTTCAAGTCGTTTTTGTGCCGAATGGAAAATTGTATAAAATATTAAAATATATGATTTTTTATTCTTTGCACTAAGAAGTTAGTCGTTTGGACATTTCGGGTCGCACCTAGACCGCTTTTTCATGTCATGTATCTTAAGTCATAAGTTTTTCTAGCTATCGCCATAGTTTTTATTTTCTGTCAACCATGGAAACTAAATGTTGCTCTCTTAAATAACCGCCATGGTAATGGTGGATCCGGGATGACAATTATTTTGGCTTCAAAGTTATCCACAGAAGAAGTGATAACCGTTAGCCCCCCCCCCCCGCACTAGGCGGCCTGGCTGCGGGAGCCAGGCTGCGGCGGCCAGTCGAACATATGACGGTGTTTGGGAGCCCGCGCACTAAGCAGCCACGAACTCCCGGCTGCGGCAGCCATAAAAACGCGCCCGATTGCACGGCAGCCCGTTGGCTGCGCGCAGCCAGAGCATACGAAGTATGTGGCTGCCGTCAGTCACCGCGCACTTGTCAGCAGCCAGACGTATTTTGTTTTCTGACATCACAAAATGACTTTCGATACGGAGAAATTTATTCGCGAAATTAAAAACCGTAAATCAATATGGGATATATCTTCAGAAGAATACAGTGATCGTGATGTAAAAAAAAAGAAAATGGGAAGAAATCACAAATATAATGTGCGAGGACAATTTAACAGCAAATGAAAAAGGTGAATTTGGTACGATATGTTTTTTATTAGTTAGTATTTTATTATTCTATGGATATATTTTTAGTTTATTGTTCATAAACTTAAAAGTATAGAGTAGGTAGGTACATACTATCCCAATTCATATTGGTTTTGCCAATATAGCGGATTTTCATTGATAAAATAATCCGCAAATAAATCTCTATAATAACCTCTATATGATGCTGATGATCGGCTCCCTCTATTTAAGGGACCTGGGGTTATTTCGAGGTCTGGAGGAACGTACAGTGTGTCTTAAATCTATAACCATCTCTTTCGCGCACATAATTATATAAGACACAGCATGCTTGTACTATGGCAATTGCAAATTCTTGTCGGACATCCAGTGGACGGTGAAAAATTCTCCATTTGTTTGCCAGAATCCCAAACGTGCATTCTATGTGCCGCCTTGCCCGAGACAGTCTATAGTTAAATTTTCTTTTTTTGACTGTTAAACCCCTTCCTCCATAAGGTCGCATTAAATTTTCAGATAAACCATATGCCTCATCTCCCACAATGACGTATGGCATCGGTACACCATTATTTGATATGGGGCTCTTCTCCGGGATTCGTATATCGTTATTGACGACTTTTTGATACAAAATAGATTGTTTAAATATAGATGAGTCACTACATTTTCCATATGCCCCAATATCTATATATGTGAACTTATAATCCGCATCGCATACAGCAAGTAAAACGATTGAGAAATAATTCATATAATTATAATAAAGTGATCCTGAGTTGCTAGGTTTAATTACTCTTATATGCTTCCCGTCGATGGCACCAATACAATTGGGATAGTTTGCATTTTCATTGAAACCTTTTGATATTTCAAGCCACGTTTCTTCATTTAATTCTGGAAACGTTAACTGTCTCATGTTCTCCCAAATCGCCATGAAAATTACATATATGACATCTCGGACAGTGGTATGTCCAATCCGAAAATTATGGCTGATTTCCATCATAGAACAGCCTGTAGCAAGATATCTGTAATAAAGTACTTATATTAATTTTCAGGTAAATCTCTACAGCAAAAGTGGAAGAACATCAGGACTAGTTACAGCAGGGAAATAAAACGCAGAGCCGGTGCTAAAAGTGGAGCAGCAGCTTCGCGTAAGAGTCCTTACGTATATTTCGAACAACTACAGTTTCTTAAGGCCACTGTAATAAATAATGAAACTCAAAATAGCATGGGTATAACACACCCTGCGGAAACCAACGATGACAGCGATTGTATTCAAGATAAACAACCCGTTTCCAAAAAGAAGAATACATGTGACAACGAAAATTTGGTTCAAGTATTAAAGGAAAGTATCGCAATAAGAGAAGAGCGTGAAAGAAAGCAAGAATCTGATTCAGATTGAGTATTTATGCTTTCGCTTCTAGAAGATTTTAAAAACATTCCGAAACATCGTAAACTTTCTACGAGAATGGAGTTAATTGACGTAATAAAAAAGAGCTCAAAGCCTTTAGGAAACTTACAATTCCGAATTTGATGTGTTTCGCCATATTGATTATGAACCAGGGACATCAACCGCTAGATTATTTAAACCAGAAACATCGGTTAGTGGACAGTATCGCTATGGATACTCGACTGAATATGGACCGGGAAACTCGAGCAGTAGGCAATATCGCGATGAATACTCAACTGAATATAGGCCGGAAATCTCGAGCAGCGGGCAATATCGCCATTGATACTCGACACAGTCAAATTATGGGCCAGAAGCTTCGAGCAGTGAAAGCCGGCGTGCATATTCTACGTCTGTTCCAGACAAGCAAGACAATACTGGATATACTGAGGTGTTATCTCCATCTGACACAAATGTAACAGATACGTCTCAGAATTCTGAATTACTTGAACTATTTCAGGAAAATTCTTTACCATAAATGTAAGAAATAAAGAATAAATGTTATAAACAATTAACAGTATTTTTTATTTTAGCACTTACCTCAATGTAATCACCAATTTTTCTTCTGGAGTTATACAAGCTCGCATAGGAGTATCAGTGCCCTTGATTGAATTTATTATATTTTCCAAAAGGTTATCAAATGATTGCACTGACATTCTCGTGTAGTTAAAAAACCGGTCTTGGTATTCACTAACATCTTTAAAATAGGTATAAAATAAGCCTTTTGAGTTCCGTTCTAGAAAAAGAGGATGAATCCAATGTCTTTTAACTTTGCGTTTTTTACGAGATACGCACAAAATTACAAGTTCTTCCACGTCCATATCCCTCGAAAAAAGGCCGCCGCAGCCTGGCTGCGCATCCAGGCTGCCTAGTGCGCGGCATGCCTTAGAATAAACTTGTTATAAAGACCGCGCTAAGAACATACAAGGTGAAGTAACAAACTATAATTAGTTGCAAATAGATACGTGAAGCTAAAGAACAGGACCGTACCGTAATTCGAACCATAGGAGAGACCTATGACCTAAAGTGCACTGCTGAATGTCCTTATAACAACTAAAAAATGAAGAACTGCGCGTGCCAACCCGCCCACTTAGAGTGGCCGCTTGAGCAATTATTAATCTAAAATAAACATAAGCCAAAATGCAATCTTTGGGAGGTCTTAGTTCAACAGTGGACTTTTTAAAGGCATTAACGAATCAATTAATAAATGAATCTGGATAATACTAGGTTATGCAATGAATTACGAGTCATCTAGCAATGTTTTAAAATTTTGTCAGGTGAAGGTAATGCGACTATGGTATAAGAAGAGACTATGCTCATCAACCGTTACTGTCTGAATAATCTATCTGTATCACTGCATCGTTTTTCTAGTTATCGTTAGTAGGACTGCTAATCATAAAGTCCCCGGTTCGCATCCCAGGTTATACCAAAATCAGTTAACGAGTTTTTCTTTCAAGAATTGCTTATTAGTAGAACATTGGTGGTATTTCAACTCCGTTCATCTTACCCCTGATTCATAACCGTTCATACTACGCCTTATCTCTCTCTCTCTCTCGGAGGTACGTATGTAGGCTGTAACTTTACTTTTAATGTACTATAATATACAATATGTTAATGTCATTATGAAACAAGGTATTCAGTTGTATTGGAAATTGCAATGCTTCAAATAAATCCCTAGGCGGACACCAAGAAGATTCGATTTCTATCTTATTTCCCTGTGGTATTTTGTGAAACATTCTCAAACAGAAATTGTGACAATATAGGAATAACAAACGCGATTAAATGAAACTGTTATTTAAATAAAGAAAACAAACAGATACTAGACAAGATAAATACTGCACTACGGATTTTGACAAAGTGGTACAGTATTGATTAAAACTACTCTTACGGATTTTATCTTACTTTTAATTTATTATTATACGTTTTACTATACGTTTCGGGTGCTTTCCAGCACCCATGGTCACGGGGGACTCAATACGCGGGCGATCAAATCCATAAAATTAGTTTTAATCAATGTGTAGTGTTCGCGTAAATATAAGAAATCATTATGGTACAGTACATAATCGGTGCTACAATTTTGACAGCCGTAGAAAGAGGTGAAAATGTTATTATACCACGGATCCCTATAATTCCCACAGATCTCCTTTTCAATTCAAAAGGTTGCAGTTCCCTATTAAGGTCAGTTTTGCAACGACAATTAATAAAGCGCAAGGGCAAACGTTACAGGTAGCGGGGGTCAACTTAGACAAACCATGCTTCTCTCATGGTCAGCTGTATGTAGCATGTTCGCGTGTGTCAAATGCCCAGAATCTCCACTTTTTTTCCCCGAATGGAAAAATATATAACATTGTTTACAGTAGCGTCTTAAAATAGTGTTCAGTTAGTTTTTTTTTTTCCAAAATTCCCACAATCAATTAATCAGAACTCCCACAGATCTTCCTTTTGAATTCAAAATTTCCTATTTAGCTCAGTTTCTTTTCAATTCCAAATACTGCACCTCTGACGGACCTATCAAGTTCAGTTTCCTTTCAACTCAAAAGGCTGCATCTCTGACGGATCTTTTATTTGGCTCAGTTTCCTTTCAATTCAGAAAACTGCATCTCTGACTAATCAATTTAGCTCAGTTTCTTTTCAAAAGTCTGCATCCCTGACGGATAATTATGCTCAGTTTCCTTTAATTAAAAAATATCCCATTTCAATTAGGAATATTATTTTAATTAAAGGAAACTGAGCACAATTATCCGTCCTATTTTCATGCTTTCCTATACGCTGCGTTTCAAAACATTTAAATAGGCTGACGAATCAATTTTGCTCAGTTTCCTTTTAATGGCTGCATCTCTGACAAATCTATAAAACACAGTTTTCTTTCAATTCAAAAAGCAATGGATAGTTTATTTCCCAGTGACCTTGCGGGCGAAGCCGCGGGTAACAACTAGTTATTTAATGTAAAAGTTTGTAACGTTTGTAAAACTAGGTGGCCACAGCAGCACACATCGCACCTATAGATATACATCACACAATGATATTACTCTGGACTTTAATTACAAGGTCATTACCGTCCTGGATATCGAGTTCAATGGCAAACTAATAAGTTATTCTTTGTGTATACTTCCACACCATCATTATTATTTAAATGTCTCTTAGTACAGTATACATTGTATCCTGCCAGTGTTAGCGCATCGTAATCCTCTTGAGACCAGCATTTTGTTAACACAATCATGTCCTCACCGGCACGGAAACTTGGCCAAGCGGTTATCTCGCGATAGCAAAAGCTTTAAGTGTTTCTGATGAATGTTTGTTATGCAAGTATGTCAAAAAATGTTTACCCTCAAGTTCAAGAGGGTAATTCATTATGTTTAAGTGCACCATGACGAATTCTTTAATTTTTAGTTGAATCGGGTCATTTGAGCGACTAAGTTCACATTTTAAATTTGTGTGTTGTGAAAAGTTTACTGTAAGGTTATTAAATTATTGTGATCTTGTGTCTTAATTAAATAACTAAAGGTGCTTTAAAGCCAATAAAAATGCCATTAACACCAGCACAAGTTGCACAAGCAGTAGCATTAATTGACCAAGGGCTGACACAGCGTGAAGTTGCTATTGTGCTTAACGTACCACGGTCCTCAATGCAGTATTCACTGAAACGATACCAGGAGACAGGCCGCTACACCCGCAGGCCAGGCAGTGGGGGCGTAAGGTGCACATCGGCCCGGGACGATCGTTTTATTGTTATGGAGATTTTGAGAAACCGCTACCTGACCGCTGTTGAGATACGCCAGCGGCTCCAAATCGCAAGAGGCGTTAATGCTAGTGAGCGTACGGTGAGAAGACGAATGGAGGAAGTGAATTTAAAAGCTCGTAGACCAGCACGAGGTCCAGAACTTCTCAGACAGCACCGAGTAGCCCGACTTCAGTTCGCAAGAGAACATGTCAATTGGACCCACGAGCAATGGGCTAGAGTGTTGTTCACAGATGAGTGTCGAATAGCTTTACGTGCTCCAGACGGTCGAGAACCAGTGTGGAGAAAAAGAGGAGAGAGGTTTCTACCCATTACCACCACCCAAACTGTGAGTTTGCATGGAGGCTCAATAATGGTATGGGGAGGTGTAAGTTCCGACGCACGTACAGAGTTGGTCATCGTCGATAATCGGCTTACAGCTACTCGATACATCGAGGAAGTTCTTCAGGAGCACGTAATGCCTTATTCGGGATTCATTGGACACGACCAATTCCTCCTCATGCACGATAATGCACGCCCGCACGTCGCACATTGTGTAGAGGAATATCTGGAAGAGGTTGGAATACAAAAATTACAGTGGCCAGCTCGTAGCCCGGACTTAAATCCAATTGAGCATGTATGGGATATGCTCAAAAGAAAGATAAAGTCCAGCTCCAAACCGCCACAAACTCTCCTCTGACTCTCCACTGAGCTCCGAAATGCAGCGCTGGCCGCTTGGGACAGCATACCGCAAGTTGATGCCAGAAACATCATTCAAAGCATGCCAGATCGAATGCAAGCGGTTATCAGGGCTAGAGGAGGAAACACCCGATATTAAAACTGATAGACAATAAAGAAACAGACTTAATTTTTAACTTTGTAGTGTTTTTAAAGTGACAATGGAAAGATGTTAATTTTAGTGAAAACATGTTATCTTGAAAAGAAAAATTTCGGTGAATTAAACATTAAATTTCTATGTTCTAAAACCATTAGAGACACAGAAGAGAGACAGACACTTATTGAATGCATCTACCCTTAATTTACTGTTAAAAAAACGTTTCAGTGCAAATAATCAGCAAATTCACGAGTGGCCAAGTTTCCGTGCCGGTGAGCTGACAGTAAGTGGGCACTGGGACTGTGGCCCGTTAAAACGCTTGATAAGCGCGTAAATAGGCCTCAAGCCCACTTACCATCAGGTGCACTGTACACTTGTTAATCACCTACACTAAAATATTTT